GTTGTGGGAAATGAAGCGACCAAACACCGAGGGATTTTGGAGTACGAGGTTTATTTTACATGCATGGGCCCAGAGGAAGCATTTCCAAATTCTGAGCAATGAACAAAGGATTCCTGGGGTTTTTATAGATTAGGGTCTTCTTGTCTACGTGGCAAGGCGGGATACAGAAGCGGAATGCGGAAGTTAGTCCTGTCTAGGGGCAGAGCCAGGGCTCAAGGACACAGGTGTCTACGGGGCAGAAGCAGAATGCGATAATTAGTTCTATTTACGGGGCAGGGTTCAAAGGCTCCTATTATTCAGTTCCAGGGCTCGAAGGACACAGAAGCAGGGGTGTTAATCTCAGTCCTAGCTAATGCACTGTTGTTTACTTATCCTAGACAGCCCCATCATTCTCCCCAGGGCGCCTGGGGCCTGGGCAAATAAAGGTTAAACAGAGGTTTTTCAAAGTTTCTCATATCATTCCCCCTTTTATGCTAAACAACACTGGTTGCTTGTTTAAGCATTATATATATTTTTGTAAGAATAAACAAGTCCCCCCCTTTTATTAGATTTAGAGTATTAATGAGGTTTCTTTTTCCTTTTCTCTTGTTATTACTTATAATTCTAGTTCTATTATTGCAAAAGAGCAGTCAGAAACTAAGTTTTTCTTCCCTTTTTTTAACTCAAAATACTTTCATGTCTTTGTTCCCTACTTGCACCGTTTTAACTCCGGGCACTGCAAACCAGGAAAGAGCACACATCTGTGTCTCAGGCTGCTGTTACTATTAGCTGCATCAGGCAGGATCTTTTAGCCAATCTAAAGTTATGTGGCACTCCCTCACAGTCCACTGGCAAGAGGTCCTTTTTTGTACTAAGTTCTAGTCAAAGTCTTTCTTGCCTTCTAGGCTACACAGCCAAAAGGGGAACCCCCAAAGCCACATGGGCCTCTTTCACCAAAGCTGCAGGGGTCGGCACTCTGCCTTAAACTATGCGGTGCCCTCTTTCACCTGGGTAGTTTATCCCCTCATGGCCTGGAGTTGATCTTTTCCAAGCTCTGACACAGGCCTTCCCCCTTAGGGGCTCTGCTCTTAGCTACATCCTGGGTAAGTGACTTTATTTCCTTAGCTCTAAGTCTGGCTATACTATTTAATATATCTATGAAACTAGCTAAAAGCTATATGTCAAATAATTACTTTAGAGGTCAGCTGCAACCTGTTGTTATGTACAATATCTCTCACTGGCCCCGCTCTATTCGTCCCCCTCTCCCGGGGAGTGGTGAGTATACCTCAATATCTCTTGGATACCCCGAACCTTGGATCCCATTCTAAATCTTTTCTGGGGCTCCCCGTGGACGCACTCTGTATCAATATTTTTCTTTTTAGATTTATACCTACTTCATAATTATATAAAGGAAAAGGGACGGAGGTCTCATCTTCTTGTAACTTCTTCCAAGCTGGAAATGGACGCTGTCTTATTTACCCTTGGGTTGGGGTGCCCTGAAGGGGAGCAGCACGGAGGGAGTCTTTCCTGTAAGGGGAAAGACCTCACAGGGTCCTGGTCAGTTGGCTGTCACCCGGACATCGCAGGCTTGGTGTCCAGAGGCTGGCATTACTGGACCGCTGTCATTCTGGTCAGGTCATGTTCTGGAGGTGACAGATTAGGCAAGAAATTGGAAGTACAATTTAATTATAACTATTAATTGACAAGGGCAGACACTTCAGTAACGATTAGGAGTTCCCTCCTTTCAGGTTTCTGAGCCCTTTCTGTCCAAGCTATCAAGACAGAAAAGAGAAAATTAGTTCTAAAGTGAAGCCCACAAACCGCCCCAGTCTTTTACTAACCCAACTACTTAGTTCAGCCAAACCATTGAGTCTCAGTGGGGCAATGATGGAGATGGGCTCCTTAAGTGAGGCCCATCTTGCCACTAATTTCTCATAGGCATAGGCAAGTCATAGGCATAGGCCCTATGAAAACAGAAGAATACACAGGTTAATTTATATAACTATCCCTAAACCAGTCTCTGCGCTTGTGAGACTGTCTTTTGGGAAGACACTCTATTGCAAGGTCTTTCTTACAATGACATTTAACAGTGGCAATTTGACAAGGTCCTTTGCACCTGTAAATTGTACATCTTTGGTGACATTATAAACCTGGTTTTAACTTTCAAATGAGAGCAAATTTTCAAGACAGTTAGCTGTACCATTCTGATGTCTAATGCTGAGCACTGTGATTTTCCTTGAACTATAATTTTTCTCCTTAAGATTACCCTCACTGTTATTACAGGGACTACTTTGGGTCCCGCTTTTGATTTTTGACTGTTCGTTTGCATAAACACACTAAGAGCAGCCTGGATCACTTGTGATCCTTAAGTCTGCTTTGCTGGAACTTATACTCACCCAGGGAACTCTTAGATTGACTTTTCAATATGCCCCTCAGGGCATAGCAGTGCCACACATCTAGCCTCGCCTGTACCAGTTGTTTCACTCAAATCCTTGAGCGTTCATTGTGCTTACAGGTTCCTTTTCAGCCATCTTTCAGGAAAGCAACCTTCATTCCTCCCCTGGAAAGACTGGCACGAACCACACAACTAACCAAAGTACCAGGCTTTTCTTGTGGGCTTCCACTAGCTTCACAGGTCAATCCTAGTTCCTCTGAGCTTTCTGGTAATGACCAGAACCTATATGCCTCCTTTAGGCGTGACATTTCAGTCAAAGTCCTGGTTAACAAAACTACTATCAAAGACTGGTCTTATTGGTTTTATGCAAAGAAACCTTATGTTATCACTCGTTCCCTTAGAATGCCAATTTCTGAAGGGTTCAGATAGGGAGAAAAATATAAAGCATAATGGAAAATCTTTTTCCCTTCTGATATCTACTAAGATTGCATTTCTATGCTTTATACCTTTCATTACTAACTTCACATAATTCCTTTCTAAAACTTTTGCAAACTTCTACAACCTTTTATACACTTTCTTCTATCTTCATAGCTTCTCACAGCCCTTCAGCAACATTCAAAAACTTTTACAACCTTTTATATACTTTTTCATTTTCATATCTTATACTTTTTTTTTTGTTCACTTTTTTTTTACAGAGTATGAAGTTTTAACCTTTCTTGGAATCCTCAGTTTCTTTTTCAGAGCAGATACAGAGCAAAATCTGAAACACAGTGTTCCGAAACAATACAGGTAGAGACATTCTCTCGCACCAGTGCTTCCACTGGTGCCTCACAGAGACATGCTCCTTCAGGCCCGGTCTCTTGGCAGAGACATGCTGCTTTGCCTCAGGCTGAAGCACTCATCAGCCTTGTCCGGAGGTATTGTTGAAGCATGAGGATTTCTTCAATCTTGCCTCAGGCTGAAACACTTTAGCCCAAATGACCCTTCCTGGGTCCCAGGTGGCAAAAGCATTCTCCCCAACCGGTTACAGTGACCTTCCTTAGGTCTTCAGGTGACTTTCAATAGGTCTTAAAACACAGGTTTCTGATTAGAAACAGAACCACATGTGAGAAATTTGCTTTTCCCATGAAATTAGAAAACAAGTAGTTGAGGTTTCCTTTATTCTAGGTTTAAAACTTTCATATCCTCTGTACATATTTTTGCTCATTTAGATCTAACTATCACTTTCTTTTAATCTTGGTTTCTTTCCCACACTGGGAAAGGCTGTAGTTAAACTTACTGCTTAAACTCAGTATGCGGCAGCTAAAAATCCCTAGTACTTCAGGTATCTTCTACTAAAAGTCTCTAGATTTGCAGGCACATTCCTTTCAAACCTTCTGAAGCCTAGACCTTGCAAATACCATACCCTATAAATCAGGTGGTCACTCTTGGATCTCAGTTGATGACTTCCAAAACTAAAGCGATTCCTATCAGAATCAGTTACACAGAGAACCTGACTGCTGCAGCTAGAAACGTTTTGTACCCCAGAATGGCTGACCTTCGGAGCCGGCCGGCCCCCGGAGGGAACCCCGAACCTATCCACAACCAGGGCAGTCCATGCCAGAGTCATGGGAAGCCAGGACACCCAGGTCAGCTCCCCTACATAGACAGATGACAGGAATTAGCTCAGAGCATGCCCCAGTGGCCGAGCCAGTGTGCAGGGGAGCAGGGACAACCGAGGGGCACCAGAGGGAAGAGGCAAACGAGGTCCTAAGCCTGCTCCCAATCCAGAGGCAGCCTATCCGCCGTCCCAGCGGCTCTATCTAAGCTTCTCACACACTAGGACCCCTCGGACTCTTATCATATGAATGAAAGCACTCTTAGCAGACTTCACAGGTTCATTAGCAAGCCTTTGTGACGCCAAATTTTTCCTAACTCTAGCAAGGCACGGGAGTTGCACCTCTCCCCAGTAGGCATTCAGGCCTAAGGAGATCGAAGTCAGAAAGCGCTTCTCCCAGAATATACGGGGACTCAGGGCTTTGTCAAAGCTGGGGGGGGAGTCCCACCCGCTGCCGACTTCTGACCAAGCTCTGGGGGGGCAGGGAGAGAAACCCAAGGCAGTGCCTGCCACCAGGGAGTCTTGCACTCCAGAGGTCGTCTCCCGCCCCCAGACCCTAAGGGCAGCGGTACAGAGCGGTTAGCAATATCTCTTTACTCTTGTTTATAAAATCAAATCAAAATAGGCCTGTGAAATCTGCTATTTGTTATTCTCGAATGCAATTACAAGGAACAATTTCCATATACATTATAGAGTACAAACAGGAATTAATTAAGGCATTTCTGGGTTGTTACAGCTCAAATTCTTAAATCTAGTTAGTTGAAAAATCATATAAACACATGGGATACATAAAAGTAACAGGTTTGGTTACATTTCAATTTTGGAAGAATTAGCACAGACTTTACAAAGTTACTTTCAGCATGAAGAATCTGAAAACACTCTTGCTTGTTTGCAGCATTAATTTAGTCTCTTTAAAAGTCTCTCTTAGGTGACCACTCCAGGGGCGCTGGTTGGAATTCCACACAGCTTGGAGAAATCTGGAGCTAAAGGTCATTCAGAAAGGCAAACAGCACACTCCCCTCTCCGAGCTAAGAGTTAAAATGGCCAATAAATCACTCTCGGGGAGAAAGGATCAAGACTTTTAAAGTATGATGAGCTCGTCTCACAATTGCCAGACCAGTCGAATTACAAGGTCCTCACTGGCAAACATTTTAGAACTTAAAATTCCTCACGCCTCAAGCTGCGGCAGCAGAAAACTCACTTCAGTGCCTGCCATCAGCCCCGCCCACTGGCTGAAACCCTACCCGTTGCTAGGAAACAGCCAGCGGGGCCTGCCGCCCTAGTCAGCTCAAATCGCAGTAGCCTGTGGGGGAAGGGCTGCCAGCCACTGAAGTCAGCACGGACTGGGAGGGGGTTTACAGTATAGCACTCCCAAAGAAAATCCAGGTCTCCCGCTAGCAGGGAAACCTCCTGCTCTAGGCTAGACAGTTCGACCAGCCCGTTGCACACTGGGGACTGCCTGTCCTGCCCCCCAGCCGCCAGGCCCCTGGCTCCCGCCCTCCGACCCTGTCTCCGGGGCTGGGGAGGGGGAAGCGATCGCTCGGAGGAGCGACCCAGCACCTCGGCAATCCCGTCTGTCCTGAGGAGACAGCCTCCCGCCCCCGCCCCGCCACCTGGGGTGCCGATAAGGGGAAGAGAAAGGGGGTGCGGGGACGCGAGAAGTGTGCGCGCTTTTCCAATCAGCGAGCGAGGGTCCCAGCATTGCTGATTGGGAGAACTCTGGGGACAGAATACTCATCTCGTCAACACCGGCGCGGCCTCTGTGCTGCTTTGTTTCAACCAGTCAGATTCCTCGGCTCCGGCACCTGCGGACCCAGCTGGCGCGCGTTTTTTTTTTTTTCTACAAATTAGACATAGAAACTCACAGACAATGACATAGCCGTGACAAACAAAGACTGCACAGATACAGTTTCTCCTCTCACACAGGCGAACCGCGGTTCTCACACAACTTCAGCTCTTTCACTCATACCTGCCGAGCCCCACACGACGTGGACACACAAAGGGTGGGGTAGATTCGCTCGTCCGCCTGGCCTGCTCCCTCGCGGGACGAAGTCGGTCTTGACTAAGGTTGCCCCAGCAGAATTCGGGGTTAGCTGCCAACCGTTATGCCGTATGACCTGACACAGGAACCGCAGGTTGGGACCCACTCTTGCTCCGTAGGACCAGCCCGTGGAGCCACAAACACAGTCTCGCACACTTTCACGCTCAAGCACTCCGAGTTTAAACAATACCCCCCTGAGTACGGGGTCAAGTTGTGGAACCCGGTATGGATCCCACCTAAACTCAGGACAATACCCCCTGAGTAAGGGTCAAGTTGTGGAACCCGGTATGGATCCCACCTAAACTCAGGACAAAACCCCCCGAGAAGGGTTCGAGTGGTCGGAATGCATCCAACCCAAGGTTCCAATGAGAGGTGATCAGCCTCTTCCAGTCTCGGGACAAGTCCCCGGGGCACTCACCAAGTTTTGGCGCCTCCAATCAAACCGTAGTCCAAGATCCCTCACTTCCCGCCTGGCCGTGCGGGTCAGCAGCCGCTGCCCCAACCGGACGGGGCCTAAGAAATCTCAGGGCACGTGCACCCCCGCTTTCCCCAGTTGGTCCTGCGGCCGCCTCCCGGCGTTTCCAGACGGTGACAAAAGGCCTGAATTAGTGTGAGGTCGCGACTTCCCGGTCAGGGAACCAAATGTTGTGGGAAATGAAGCGACCAAACACCGAGGGATTTTGGAGTACGAGGTTTATTTTACATGCATGGGCTCAGAGGAGTCATTTCCAAATTCTGAGCAATGAACAAAGGATTCCTGGGGTTTTTATAGATTAGGGTCTTCTTGTCTACGTGGCAAGGCGGGATACAGAAGCGGAATGCGGAAGTTAGTCCTGTCTAGGGGCAGAGCCAGGGCTCAAGGACACAGGTGTCTACGGGGCAGAAGCAGAATGCGATAATTAGTTCTATTTACGGGGCAGGGTTCAAAGGCTCCTATTATTCAGTTCCAGGGCTCGAAGGACACAGAAGCAGGGGTGTTAATCTCAGTCCTAGCTAATGCACTGTTGTTTACTTATCCTAGACAGCCCCATCATTCTCCCCAGGGCGCCTGGGGCCTGGGCAAATAAAGGTTAAACAGAGGTTTTTCAAAGTTTCTCATATCATCCTCTCGGCCAGAAATTCTGCTGTTGAGTGCAGGCCCCTTACCTTGACTTCTTTGCCTCTTGCCTTGGCAGAGGGGTGCTCGCCTGGGGCAGGAAGCGGGGGGTACTGGCTGCATGGTTACTCCCCTTCTCCTAGGCTCTGCTCTGCCCAGGCAGCCTCTTCTGTTCTCTCGGGTTGCAACCCTGGGCCATGATTTCAGGAGACCTGCTCTGGCTCTGGTGTCCTCTGGCCAAGTCTGTGCCAGTCAAGGTCAGTTGTCCCTTTAGACCATGCTTGGGGACCTGGAATTCAGAACTCTCTGCTCGAGTGCCCTGCCTCTTCCAGGGCTGCGTGAGCATTCTCCCTATGCTCCACCTGGATGGCTCCCCTCGTCCTTGGGGACAGCTGAGTGATGCGGACCCCAGCTTGTGGGGCCTGAGACATGACAAATTCCCATGGACTACTGAGTCCTGTGGAGGAAAAGGGATGGTGCGGCTTCTCTCTTAAGAGGCAAAAAGCCTCAGAGCGCCTCAGCCACTCTCTCAAGGGGACAGTGCCCTGACCCTTGCTTTGACAAGCTTTTATTGCTTTTCTGGGCACATTACATGAGGGTCCTCATTTACTATGCACAGGTTCACCTTAGGTGGTTACCTTTTACAGAAAACAAAGGAGAGGATGCCGCTAATCACGTCACAGAAGGAGGATATTTGCAAATGCAAAGGGAAAAGTGGTCGAACTGGTTACACTCCTCCTTGGGGGGTTTAGCATGGATTTTAGGAAGTTACTTTAAAGAGATGCAGTCAACATTTTCTGCTTCAATTCAGGGTGAGAGGGTTTTAGCAAAAAGCAAGTCTCAAGGTGGCTTAGGTACAATGCAGGCCTGATTGCCCACGGGAGAACCTGTTTGTGGGTGTGCGTCCTGTCTGGGCCTACGCCACCCAGAATGGTCTCCTGTAGCTGAGGGTAGCAGTTTGTGGCAGGCCTTCAGGTGGGGCTTACACATGTGGGTTGAGGTGTTTGTTCGATGGGAGCTGAGTGAAGCTGGAGGTGGGAAGAGAAGGTGGAGGTGTGGACAACTGCCTCCATTTATATAGGGTGGGGCAGAAGGTTTATAGTTGCTTGTATGAAAAATAATACAATAATTAATAAATAACAATATGAGAATAAACTCTGGGTTTCATGTACAATCGTAAACTTACTTTACCCCACCTCCTACAAATGTTAGGTAGGGGCAGGTATGGGTCTGGGGTCCATTTGGAAAGAGAAAAATACTTTTTCTTCCTATTCAATCACCCCTTTCCCTACCCTTCTCTTCCTCTGGGGTGGATTAAAAGGCTTCTTACAGAAAAACATACCTACCAACAAATGAACAAAAACAGTTCTTCAGGTCATACCTACGTGCAAATGAGCATAACCCATGAACTCAGCAGGCCACACACCAACATGCCTTTGAAGAGATACTCTTAAGAGGTTTTGGGGAGGGTCAGTCTCTGAAGGACAAACGGGGACCAATACCTGCCTCAGGCTGGTAGGCACTGAGGACATCCGGAGGAGGAGAGTGTGGAAGTGAGCCTGTCAGCACACTGGCAGTCGGCAGGGTGGAGGCTTCTCTCTCTAGATTGAGTTAAGGGTTTCCAAGCAATCGTTCCCTGCAGAACCTCCTCTTCAAACTCAATATGGGAGAGAAATGCTGGGGAGCTATTCCAGCTGAAACAGGGTTGTGGGACAGGACGACTGTCCTACTTGGTGACCCACCCACCTGCTCCCGAGGAGCAAGTTGAAAACTTGCAGATCTAGGCAGGTGAACTAGGTGAGGGATGCACAGGTCAGGCTGTGCCAGGCTGTTCTGGGCCCCGGAGCAGGAGCTCAGGAACAAGGTGGAAGCAAGGGGACCAACGCTAGACACTGGGACCATCTCCCATTCTCCTTGGTGCCAGAACACACAGGTAATTGCCCCCATGTTACTGTTATTTGCTTTTAAAGAGGCCAATGTCAGAAGCTCCCAATAATCACAAAGAAGTAAGTAAACATGGGGTGATGTCCACCAGTAAAAGGGTAGGTATGAGTGTTCCTGGCCTGGTGTTTTCTGTCTTTTCATCTATCGTGACAGTCTTGTTCAGACTCCCTGTGCTGGTTAGGAAGGTGGTGTCCCTCAGACCCACTCTTCTCTACTCTGTGATGTTGGGTCTGGGATTCTACAAAGACGGTTCTCTGTGGCCAGCTGGCTCCCAGATAGGCTCTGCCAACCAGGTGGTTTGCAAAGTTGGAGAAGAAAGCAGCGACTTGCTCCTTTTGCACTGACTCTGTTCCTATGAGCATCACCCTGGCAATGACTCTATACCTTGCAGGGACAATTCCTTCCAATAGTGGTGTGTTCCAGTTTCCAGTTTTTCTGTACTGCCACCACCAGCCTCACAGATACCAGGTCATTGCCCTTCCTTGGAGGTTAGGGTGCCAGTCCACAGGGCCCCCCTTTCCAAGCTTGTAAGTGATCAGCACCCAATCTCCTCCCTTTGTTCTCCCACTCCAGAAATAGAGCTGCTTCCTGCAGTTACTGCCTCTGTTTATCTTGATATTTTCTTTTCATACTCTAATACCGACTTCAGCTATTGACTAGATTAAATTCTCACTGTTTAAGTAACTGGTATGTTTTGCTTTCCTGTTGAAACCTGACTGGTGCACAGTTCTCAGAGACATTGCCTGGAAAGCAGACGAGGTTTCAGCCTTACCCGGCTGGGCTGCTCTGCAGAGCCTGACCTCAGAAATCTTGCCAACAGCCCCAACAAGTCAACTTCTATGGTAAAAGAACTCCCTTATCGCAGGAAAAGTCCTCTAATCTAATGCAACCTTTCTAAACAAACTCACTCCAAGACGGGGGGTTTAATTTGAGAAAACCAGAAGGGACCCTCAATCTTCTCATCCCAATCAAAGCTGTCAGAACCAGTTAGCATCAGAGCTAGTCAGGTGGCCCCAAAGCTGCTCTCTGCCAGGCAGCCATCCTGTCACCAAGGAAACCAAGCACCAGAGCAGAAAGCCATGAACAGTGTCCCTAGGAACCAGTCTGAAACTCAATTGTCTGACATGCTTGTCATTATCAACTCTGCAAAAGTGCAGCATCTCTTGCAAGAATGATTCTCCCCCACCTCAATCCTCCTGTC